TGATAGTTGTTCTGTGGCAGTAGCGTGGGAATGTGTGATTTATGTGTAATTCCTTCAAAATGACCCAGTGTCCGATCATCATCAACTAGTGTTCAACGATTACAGTAAATCATTCAAACATTTTTGTGTGATGATTCACATACATGCAGGTCCTTCATATTTAAATTTTTTTAGGGAGAAAGAGGAATATGTTTACAAGAAAATATAAAAAGCGGCCATTTTGGAACATTGTCCATAGGATTTAATGTATTCCATAGATAATTTATACTAATATATAGAATTCTCCCATTTTTTCGTGACAGCCATATGTAGTCCTTATAACAGTACATATATTTTTTTAAGATAGGTCACCGAACAAAATTTTGTGATATGATGGAATGTTACTGTCATAGGAACAAATTGTAAACTATTCAAAAAAAACGCATTTTTGATCAATTTTCGAGGTTGTTTTTTGGAAATCTTCAGTGACCATATATTTTTACACATTTTGAACATTACAGTGACCCAACCCCTCTTGCTTGATTTCAATGATTTCTACTTTAATCGCGGTACTTCCTGATTAAAATGATAGTCTAAATGTTTTTTTTTTTTGTTTTTTGCAGGCTATTGCTGGTCCAGACAATGGCTTGGATCCCAGACAACCAGTTAATTTCACTGTACCATCCTATAGTAAAGGGGTATTTGTTTAGCACTTTTTAAAGCGGGGGAGTCGTCACTTGCGCATGCGTCAGACGGTCATAGCGCATGCCGCTCATGATACTTCGCGTTTTTAGTCGTGTATCATCTTCGCTTAGGACTCAATTCTCGTGCGTGCCCAGAAGACAACCTCTCCACTCGGACTAAGCGTCATCTACAAAAATTAAGTGATTCAATTTTGAATATGAAATTATTCTCTCCATCCCAAAATACCGATCTTTGAAATAGGATTGTGGTGTTGAGATATCCTCATTTCATCAGATTTGGCCACCATCAAATGTGTATAGCACATTATTAGACGTGGAAATATCCCCAAAATAATTTTTAAGATTGTGTTGGACCAATATTCATGGAGACTTTAGGGAGTCATTTACATTGACTAGATGGACCTGTGCACTTACGATCTCCCACTGAGACAAATCTTTCCACCAGCAGTGGAGATAAGCAGTGGAAATAATCGAAAATAAAGGCACATAGCAACATTTAAAATGATCAAATATACGATTTTAACCTTTTCACCACCTGACTTTCTTGTCCGAATTTTTTGTCATTTTTTTTATATTCTTCAATATTTTGGAACCAACAGACCAACATTTTTAATTGTTAGTTTTGTCCCCATCATCTAAAGTGCAGATTTTAAAAAGGACTATTTTGTGAATTTGTGATGAAAAGAGGAAACTGGTTGCGAAAAGGTTAAACGCCATATATATTACCGCCAACATCTTAGTGCACATTTTGTGTATTTTCCTATAATTAATCAGTCATAAATTAAAACTTTTGAAAAATATATAAAACCATATTTTGTTAAAGGTGACAAAAGATTATATTTGCAGTCAAATAAATAGTTGTAATTTAATGGTATTTTATCATGGTACATTTTTCTTTTTCAGTTTAGTACAAAGACACCGGGTGTAAAGATCGGCGTACTGAAGGAAGGTTTCAGTCACGAGCAATTACAACAAGATGTCGCT